ACTAGAAAAACCCTAAAACTTAAAAGGAATCTACATGCAAAAAGTTAAATCAGTTTCAATAGATTAAGAATGTCCATGTACTTAACTTTCTACAATAGCTTTCCTCTTTTATGTGTGAACAGTAATTCTGCGTGTATGATTAAACAGAAGGCTACTGTATGTTATTTATGATTCATAAGAAAATCAGAACTCTTCCTCTTTTCCTCTGAGTTTTAGGAATTTAAAATTCTAATGTGCAGTTTGGGACTGGCACTAGTTACAAAAGAGTAATCACATGTTTTCCAAAGCAAATGTTCCCTCATATATAATTCACCATTTATAAGCACTGCAAAACACTCCAAAATAGCTTTCCTCTAAATATTGCTTTCAGCAATCCCTTAGTAACTGCTCTAAATCTGTAGTTAAGAAGGACCCCCTTAAAATAACACATTGACAAATATAAGTATAACAAAGTGTTAAAATGGAACATGGCACTCTCGTTAAGAGTCAGCTCAGCCTGATTTCACTGGTTGAAAAAGAACTTAAATCTGACTGAAATTTCTCACAAAACAAAGACATGAGGTTACTTTAGAGTTCCAAAGGCCAGAAAAGTGTCAATAGTATTTAGCATAAAAAACTAATTGGGGACACTATTTACACAATAAAATATACCTTAGCTAAAGTTAAAATTATAAATGGGGTACAAATGTGAATCATGTCTAAAAATGTCACCGATGAGTTGCAATAACATCTAGCAGTGTAAAAAGATTGCTTGGGCCAGTATTTAAGGTGTCTTGATACAGTTATTTCTGGACCATAGCAACTATTTTCAAATTATCAGCTTTTTTTAAAAAGCTGATTGGAAATAAAAACAGTTTTCCCTTATTTCCCTTGATATGACAATTACACCAGTTGGAAATGGATTGAGCTTTGGTATTGAGTATTTCTTAAAGCAGTCGATATATCCATGGAGACAAAAACGAGTACAACACAAATTTTGTGCCACCTGATATGACATGAAAAATCTTATATAGCATTTTATGCCTTATGATGGTGTATGGTGAGTAGAATGTACCAGAAAATATTCTGTAGGTTTGATATCAAATAAATTGCAATTTAAACATTTTGAATTATACTTTTTGCATTATAATATTGAACACAGTATATTTTTGATGACACTGCTTCAAACACAGGCAGCCCATTAGCTCAGTATGTGACTGTTGCGGCTAAATATAATGCAACAAACACTTTATAGCAATTTGTATGGGAAATTAACTTTAGGCCTAAATATACCTATATTTAGGCCTAGGCCTATATATAAGTGAAGCTTCGGTTTATGAGGGGAGACGCTAACCAACGACATCGCAAACATTCGTAAGGCACAAAATGGTCTAAACTGGACATAAATTGAGCCCAAGCTGCATCAAAGACACAGAGACAACCCTATGTTGAGGTGAGTGAAGTTTATTTGCACACTCATAGTTTATTTTAGTATATTTAGGCCTAAAGATAATTTCCCATACAAATTCTAAAGAGGGTGGCAAAGGGGAGTGTACCAATCACGCATCACGCTGAATTTTTCTATTAAATCGTGCATCACAGAGGGTTTTTTCACCAATCACGCATCACATAAACAGAAGTACTGTAAGTGCATCACAAATTTTACTTTTTCAACCCTAAAAGCATTGTTAAAAGTAGAATTCTGCCACCTCAACCACAGAAATGAATCGGCAAATATTCCAAACATTTCCCCCCGAAAATGTCAATTATTGCGCAAAATAGATGAGTGGTGACCCATACGGGAGACCAAGAGATTTCGACTGCTCCTGGATAATCTGGGAGAGTTGGCACCTTCTGTGAACAGGTTCCTGACAAGCGCCAAAAAATTAAATAGGGTGAGCAAAGCGAACCTAGAGGGGTGGGATTTTTCCTCTCCAGACCACTCTCAGCTATCTTCACCCACCTGTTTTTATTCCTTCCCCTATAACACAGTTGGGAGCGTGTTCACAGGCTTAGTTGGCAGAGATCTTGTATACGAACTGAGAAGGCGTCTAAGCCACCTTTGCCATCCTTTGATGTACAGGCAGTATTTGTGTCAAAGCTTTATCCCTGCAAATCCCCTCCTGTACTGCAACGTTTTTATGTCTGTGAATGACATATCCTGGCTTTTGAATTTAGTTAGGTCTTTATGATGATCTTCATGAAGTGGTACACAAACTTTTTCCCTGTGCAATCTCTCATTGCTTACACAGCTGTCTTCTCGAGTGGCATAAACTCTAATTGTTTCAGCCATTTGGGATGACATTCTTTCAAAACTTTGACACGATAGCTGGATTCAGATATGGTCCGACGCACTACCAAAAATGATTGGTCGACAAAATGGACAAAAATAATACTGAAGCTCATAGTCCTTGTACAAAGTTTAACTATTTTCAATTGACTTATTCCCATTATGACAAAACAATTATTGTTTGGACCTATAGTACCATGAAGATCCACGAAGATCAAAGACATCAGAGGTCAAGAAAAGGATGAAAAAGACAAGAAAATGGTGTCACATGTACCACAATTTGTTGATCTTTTTGAAGACTCTATTGACTATTCACGTGAATTAATGGTATCCTTCTAGTTCAAAGAACGTTCACTTATCACGGAAATCTAATTGGTAAATCACGCATCACGTACTTGTAAAATAGCAAATCACCCATCACGTTATGATGTCCTGTCCCACATCATGCAGCCGATTTGGTCTCAATCACGTGTCACACGACCAATTTGGGGGCGATCACACGTCACGCAAAAACCCTTTGCGAACCCCTCTATAAAGTGTTTGTTACGTTGTATTCCACAACAGTCACATACTGGGCTTGGGCCCCCTATGCTTCAAATAATACCAGAATGCATCTTTGAGATGATGTTTTGAAGCCCTGAAAGTTTGGTTTAACATGCTTTCATTTCTGAAATTTCAAGAACGAGTCATTCCGATTATAATTTTCAATTAATTTATTAAACAGTTAAGCATACTTCTTAATTAATTGCAAAACTTTTCTAAATTGATCAGTGCTCTCAAACGAGAGTCTCTCGATCTCTTCGATCTTAGTAAGGAACTCTTTCCTACCTCTGAATGGAATATCGTTCCATTTACTGAAGTTCTCCGTTAGCTTTCCATAGCTTATTTCCTCATTGTCTTCAAAAGGTGTAACAATCGGAGGAAAGATTCCACTCAAATCGAGCGATGAACTACTTTTGGACGAAAAGCCTGCCATTTTCTGAAATTGTCCCAACAAATTGGCCCTCGATAAAATTGTACTGTTGTACTTGACTTCTGTGTTATACCAGTACAATTGTCTTGAAATCAACCGGTTAATACGAGAGAAATTTCTGCAATTCGCTTTGAAGAAGAAAGCTGCCGCCATTATGCAAATAAGGTTGTGCGCTGACCAGCATTTAGTAGGTCCAAGTTTGGGGTCCGCAATTCGTACATGTATTCTGTGGTTTACTTTGCAAATTTTGAAAATTTGAGAGTCACACGAACCTGCACGAACTGAGTAAAGCCCCAACCAAAAACACCACCCCACTAAGGACAATCACTTTTCTCGAAAAAAAGTAGTATCAATGCGATTGATCAGCTGATGTGAAGCAATTGCTTCTTAATGTATTGTTCAGCCTTTTACTAGCGTCCTTAATTAGTCTATCTAGGCTAAACACATAGACACTTAAATAAAGGTTTTACTTTACTTTACTTTTCAGTGGCCAGCCCGTGCTCAAAATTTTAATCGTTGTTCGTTAATTAAACGGGTTACAAAATATAGCCTCTTGTCTTAAAGGGTAGCAAAATGACGGGATTTAGCCCTAAACGGGGTCAGGATTTGAAGACATCCCAACCAGATAACGTTCTAAGCATCCGTTAAGTTCCTTCTACCCTACAACTGAATAGATCTATCTCTATTACAATGACTGCAACGATGAATAGTCATGCTTTCCGAACAGTTTTGTTCCCAAATCGTAATTCTGTTTCAGTCATTATTTCTCAATACTCTGATCTCAGGGAAATTCGGGCTCTCTTTCGTCTGCTTCCCAATGGTTTGACTGATTGACTTGTCTTCGGGCAAACTCCGTACCGCAACTTCATTATACCGTCTATATCATTATATCATCCAACTCCTTAGACTGGAAAATAGGGCCTCAATTATTAAATCAATGGCAAACAAAAGAAGACTATTCCTTTTTTGCAGTCAACAATCATTTTACTCATTTTAAATAAGAACATTTTTCGGCAAACCTGCGATTCAACTCCGCCTTCTTTTATTAGACTCTCTTGGTACCTTTTTCTCTCGCTTATCTTTTACTGGGAAACGAGAACCTCGAGGTAGAATATAAATATAATTAACAGTGGTTGCAAGCAAAGCTATAAATAATTTCAGTACGACACTATAAATAACAAAGCCATCTCGTGTTTACTTTTCTAGTTTTAATCACTTCCGTACATAATGGGTTTAGCATTGAAATAATTAACCGGTCAAATAAATGGTAATTAGTTTCAATTTGATCAATTATTTTGCAAAAGACTAGACCATCTTAGGCGGTGTCTTTGATATGCATGTGGTATTGTATCTGACTTATTCTACACGTTTCACGTATTTGTGCTCGGGTTGACAAATGGCAGAGTCTTAGTAATGCTTTTTGCGTTTTCTTTCCTTTTTTTAACCAAGTAAAACTGAAAAACAAACCAAAAGACGTTAGAAGAATGTTTACTTAATTGCGAGTTACTTTCAACAAATCAAATGCCTCTTTTCGAAACTGCCTTCTTTTCAGTTGGTATTTTTATAAATGGTTCTAGCAAGAGATTTCTTTCCCGCTTGTTTGAAATATACTCTTTTAAATGCCGCCACTACCATGTTATCATAAGATGCGGCACATGGAATTGCGAAGTAAACAGGATTGTTTTCAGATCCTGCCCAGTTTTATTTCAAAGTAAATACAAAGCCCCATTTAAGGTGAGATTAGAAAACTCTCTTTAATTTGGCACAAAAAGTAAACAAGAAAACTTCCTGATGCTCGTAAAGACAGTAAACAGTAAACTTCCTGTGAACTTTTGGTTCAGTTTGGACTGCACTTAACTTTTACCTTCAGTCATGAGAGCAGAACGTGACTGAGTTGGACCTAGAATACTTATGAGACTTTCATAATCCATTTAAATGTTCTACAGGAATACACTCAAAATCGCATCAGCATCATTTCAGGTAGTAAAAGACTCACTACTTTAACTAGATCTGAAAACATATAATCAGTTTGATTTAAGCGCCGTAAGATCTCTAAGTGCCTGTTTCCCTTGAAAACCGTATAATCTCCTTGTACTGCACTAGAGGTAAAGTCAGTGCGCGCTCTTCTTAAAAAAGACAGCTGGCTGTTCCAAAAGCGAATTAGCAACTCACGGCGGGAAATTAAGGGTTGACCAAATAACTGCCTCAGTACGACCACATGACACCGCAACCGATAAAACTGACAGGTAGATTTTATCTACGGAAAATCTAGTAGTACACCGTCTTTTTATCAACTCAAGATGTTGTATAATCCCATTTAGTTCCATTATGCAGTCACCTTAAACTTCATCTCCAGTTAAACAAAACTTCTGTTGTACGTGTTTAATACTGTGTTAATGTTTTCTTGCGGTTTCTCTTAATATCTTTATTACACAAAGAAGACATCAGCAAGACATTATTTTCTTATGACCAAAGAGCGCTGTTTCACGCCAAATTAGCAATGAAGGTTCATGAATCTAACGTACGATTCGCTGTTCCCAGCTCCATCGCGTGGGGTGCTTAGAGTGAATCTTTCCGCCATACAAACATTCTTTTTTATTGACTCCAATATAACAAAGTAAGCCGACATGCAAAGTAGTGCGTCTGACACAGATTCACACAAAGGGATAGCAGAGCACAAACTATATATTACAGATTACTCTTGTTTAGCGGGTGAAGGGTTTAGCGCAGCGTGAAAACCTTACATGAAGTTTCCGTTTCTGGGTGATTATTGCAAGGGCAAGCCTGCTGTACAGAACAAATCGTGCACGTGATGAGTTGTACCGCCTCTATGGGCTGGACACGCTTGGCTGAGAATTGAAGAGGCGAAAAATTAGCTTTAAAATAAATTGTGAAGAGTTTAATCTGGGATAATGAGTTTGTAATCGGTACAAAGGAGTAGAAAAAGCGGTTCACCTTTGTGCGAGTAAAAATAACATACATCACGAGTTGTCTGCAGCGATCTCGTCAAGTGTCTGTTTTTTAGTCTGAATATCCATGTAGGAGGTACTCGGGCTGTTGCCGAATTAGAGCTCCTTGAAAACAGTCAGAGCCGTGTTTGTCATCTAAAGTGTGTCTCTGACTGATGATATCGGCCCGGTAGTTCGTTGGCTTGGGAGCACTCATTTTTTTCAGACTATGTAATTGGAATGCAGTCCACCACTGAGAACATGTTGCCAAAGCTTTCGTTCAAGGTAAGCTGGAATAGTTTGTGAGTTATTGAGAAACTTCTGTTGTGAGGAAAACGCAAGACCGGACGTGAACGTGCGATACCATAGAGGCCTGTATATCTGGGTGGTTGTAATTGTTCTATCAAGGTACGACGTGCGAGAAAGAGTTTTTGAAAGCCTCCTCTCAACTGAAAGAGTGAAAAAAAGGTAGTCCAACCGTTTTATGTGTGATTTGCCAAGTCAGCGCGTGCCAAAACCATGAAGACACTCGTGAACAAGCATATTTTTGAGCGAGCCATTTCTTCGCGAACTCCGTGCAAACGTACAAGGTGGCCAATCAAACCGAGGCAAAAAGAAACCCTTCATACTTGTAGTTCAGCATTAGCAGATCAACGAAAACATCTTAATTTTATTACCATCTTTCGAATAAGAAGTCACGAGATCTGCGGTTTGTTTATAATCCGTTAGCCATTAGCTTCTTGTCGTTATAATTTTGTATCGGCTGCCTTTCTCTTTGGCGAAGTCATGCGAGAAATGACTGTAGCAATTAAGACCAATTAAAAACACAATGCTGGCAAACACTTTCATAGTAATTCGTAGACACTTAGTAACGATCTCGCCGCCCCTTCACATGCAACAAAATTGAGAGCACTCCATTAAGGACCACGAAAAATATGAGAGGAATACTGTAGATAATAACCTAGAGTGTGGGAATTCAAGCCGCCATCTTGAAGTACAAGCTAAGAGAGTGCTATCGAATTCTGGTCGGCCGTTTTTTAAAGTGCAAAAGTTATGTATCAGAAAGGCAGAATTCTTGTTAGATTTGAATTCTGCAACATCCTATAAAGCAAATTCTTCTTTAATTTGAAATATGCAATATCCTTTGAAGCAACACTCTCAAAAGAAGGGAAACTTATGCTTGCATTGCAGTACACTAGAAACTGGCGAAATATATACAAAAGGAAAGCTATTGGAATACCTGTTAATGCCGGAGTGACTTTAGTCGGAGATACAACATAAATGTTTAATCTTTTCATCGTCAAACGTCGGCGAAATGCGATTCCGTGTTGCTTTAGAATTGAAAAGGTATTACATGGAACCATAAGAGTTACTTCAAACATTGTCGAAGTTTTGAGAATCCATCCACGTAAGTCGTATTGTGCAAAAATGCGCAGAAATTCACTGATGTTGTCTAACAAATTCTCACCATAATTTAAGTGCCTCTAATATTTCGGGCGTTTTATTTTGATTCCATAAATGACTATCTAGCTCAAAACAGTTTTAGCCTGGTGCCGTTTTACATCACAAAACGCAGTTAAAAATATTGTGTCTTGAGAAAAGTCATGCATGGCCGGACGGGTTGGAGCCTACGCCTTCTGAAGTACTCGACTGACTTTTAAAACGACGTTATGGTTTTCCATTTGGCCTCACTCGTGCTGTACTTAGAGATTCGTTTATGTAAGAGTTTGCCTTTCTTAGCCACGCATCATTCTTAACCCGGTATGTGACGCCAAGTCATTGAACCCGATAAATTCTGTGGCAACTCTCTCCGGGGTACGTGCCATTTTGTTACGTCGCTTCTTCACATAGCATTGACTAGTCGTTATGGCTAGGACGTCTTCAGACGCTTCTGTTAAAGTAATTGCCCTTTCTTGTATCATTCCATTACTTGAAGACTGATAATTAGAGTCATTTTGTACTCGACAAATGTCGCGCGGGATGTGTTCACTGTAAATTCCATTGGGCTCCGCGGAAACGCAATGTCAGCGATATGCAATGGACTCACGTAGTCGGATTAAGCTCCCACTTTTAAACGTGTCTCAAGCTGAGCTAGCCTACGATGTCACGCAGCTATAAGATTGACAACTAGGAAACTACATTTTTCCTTCAGTCTTAGAGCACGTTCGTCAAATTTTTGACAATTGAGAAATTTCAGTATTCAGGATTTTTCACCCATGGAAGCTGTACTTGACATTTACGCCTAACCAAAGTGCTATAACACGGTGAGCAATAACTCATCTTTGCCCATTTGTGTCAGAAGGCGGTATGCGTAATTTACCACACTCGTTGCATAAACCGCATTTGAAATAGTTTAGGGCTCTGTTGATTCTTTCTGAAGTACTTGCTTGTGTTTTATTGTCGGATTAGAGCCTTTTAACAGTAGTTCACAAAGCCTAATCCCACACATAAACATTAGTCGGGGGGGTCCTGATCTATGATCTTGTTAG